GCATTCCTCCTCCTCCTCCTCCTCGTGGCACGGGGAGGAATTAGGGCTTCTCGAGTCAATGGGATGGGGGCTTTCCTTTTCCTTCTTCTTTTTGGGTTCCCTTCCTCCTCCTCCTCCTTTAATAGCATTTCTGCGTGGAAGAGATGAATACAATCCAGGCTTAACTTCTGTCAAAGGCTTCAGGCAGCTTAACGAGGCAAATAGGAAAGAAAAAAAAAAGGAAAAAAAAAAGAGTTTCTTAGGAAACGCAAATAATTTATTATCCAGATCTTTGGATGTGTCCTTTTTAAAAAAAAATATAGAAAAAAGAAAAAAAAGACAGATTTATAAATGTTTTGGTTTTTTTTGGTGTGTGAGAGCAAGAGCGTCGCTGTGGTCGGGGTGGCAGAGAGAGAGATTTCAATGGACACACTTTTGTAGGGAAAAGCGTGTGATCCAAGTTGAGGGAAACATGTTTACATGTCCTGGGACCCCCAGGGAGTCCAGAGGTTGAAGTGCCTCCCCACCCCTCTGCTTCAGGGCCAGCTCAGACCCTTCCCAAGGCTTTTGTCCTTGCAAACTCCCTTTTCCAGTGGGAATGACAGATCCCACTCCACCTGCAAGGAGGGATGAGGGATGCTGCCCTGGATTTAGGGTTCAGGGTGGGCAGCGTGCATCCAGATCTGGGTATTTTTAATGAATTCTTCCCTGGCATGGTTTGGGGGAGGTTTTTAGGATGGCTACGCCTTCATTTACACAGGTTCAGTACAAACCAAAGATTTCAGTCCTGCGCCAACCTCCGGACTCGAGGCTAAAGGGGGAGATGTAAACCCAGCAGGATTTTGCAGTGGGCACCCCAAACCTGGGCTGGGGCTCAGAGGGAGGTGATAAATGGGTGTGGAGGGGTCAGGGGAGAGCAGAGGCTGACAGGCTGGGATGTGGCCACTTCAAACTGCCTCCACTTCAGGTCCCTGCGCTCCTGCCTGGATTTTGATGCAGTATTCCAGCACGGATTCAGGGAGGGATACTCTGGTATCCCCAAGCTGCCAACCAGGCTGAGCAGTTTCACATGAGGAGTGCTCAGGTTTCCATCCCTCACTGCAGCTCCTGTTTTTCCCTGAAACAGGTTTTTTATAACAATGGGGAAGCTGTGGCGTGAGTGAAAAGTAACCCAGTGGTGGGCAGGAACGAGGTTCCTCACTCAGATACGGTGTCTTGATGAAGGTAAAACATTTAGGTTGCCTGCAGGTAGAAATAGTTACTCACTGAGTGCTGTATCTTAGAAATTTTTCTGTTAAAAATAAATAAAGGTAGGAAGGGGGTGTTAACCTCAGGATTAGACTAGGTCACACTGCCAGGCTGTGGGTTCTCCATCAGTGGAAGTATTAGGAGCATGACAGCATGACAGTGGAAGTATTAGCTGGGACATGACAGCATTCCTGTGGGCAGCTCCTGAGGCCCTGCTGGAAATCATTGAGCTGCTCCCTGCTTGTCTCAGGGTCCCTGGGGTTCATTTCTTGCTGGGTTTTAAGGCTGTGGGAGAGAAGGGATCTTTTCCCCTTGTGCTGGGTGGGAAAACTGCTGCTGGGAGAGCTCCTGTGCCACATGAGAAGGGATTCATCTGTCCTTTGGGTTGCATTTGACCATTTCTGAGACCCTCTGAGCTAAGGAAGAAAAAGCAGGTTTGGAGAGCAATAAACACTCAGTGGATCAGTCCAGCTGCCCGTGGTCTCCAGGGCTCCTTCCTCAGCTCCACGGGGCTCTCTGAGGGATGAGAAGCTCCCTCAGGTCCCCTGGGAATCTCTGTGGCTCCCATTCTCTGCTCTGTGGATCACTGTGCTGGGATGTGCGTGTGTCTGTCCGTCCGTCCCGCCCACGGGTGCCTCTCTCCGTCTCTGATCCCCTTCCTTTGGGCGGGCAGCACGCCCTGGCTTGGCTGAAGTGCATCTCTGGGGAGCTGCTCCCCGTTCCTCTGGCCAGGGAACCTGCAGCAGGAGCAGGGGGGATGCAGGGTTTGCCTCCGTCTCCATCTCCATGGGTGCCAGCTCCTCCACACCTCCCAGGGGCTCCTCCAGCCAAGGCATTCCCATGGTCTGGCAGTGTCCATCTCTTGCCCCAAAATGTGTTTTCCATATTTATATGTCCAGGGGATGGGCCCGGTGGCGTCTCCTCTGAACCCTCGTCTGTTTATTCTGTAAACTAAAGAACTGTAAATAAAGTTTAGCATTCCTATTGTAACAAATTAATTTTTATGCAATAAATTATATTTCCTAGTCTAATAATAAAAAAAAAATAAAAACAACAAAAAAGGAAACAATCTGCTTAATCTGCTTGCCACTCTGCTGTTCATCACTCACAATTCCTGCTGGGTTTGGCCTCTGCAGGGACTGGGGATCCCTCTCTTGTATTTGTGGGGTTCCCAGGTGAAGGAAGGAATGATGAATCCGACTCCATGTTCTTAGAAGGCTAATTTATTATTTTAAGATACTATATTATGTTAAAGAATACAGAAAGGATACAGACAGAAGGCTAAAAGAGGTCATGAATCTCATTACTCTTTCCAGAGTCTGACACAGCTTGGCCCCAATTGGCCATTAAGTCAAAACAATTTACATGAAACAAATGGAACAATCACCTGTGGATAAACAATCTCCAACGACATTCCAAAGCAGCAAAACACAGGAGCAGCAAATGATAATATTGTTTTCATTCTTCTCTGAGGCTTCTCAGCTTCCCAGGAGAGGAATCCTGGCGAAGGGATTTTTCCAGAAAATGTGACAGTGACAGTGACATATCTGGTCAAAACATTCCCTGTCTGAGCTTGCAACAAATAAAAATTAGTCCATGACATGCCTACAGTTCACATATTGCATGTTTCATATCAATGGCATAACGAACATTTTTATTTTTGTACTAAAAGCAATACATGATTTGAGCTAATGTCTGTGTTTTAAGTAGTTCCATGCATTAAAACGAACATCAAAGATGTGCAAACTGACCATCCACGCTGGCTGGGGGTGAGAGAATTTTCATCTTGATGAAGTCCCAGCGAGGGAAGGAAGCCAGGAGGGTTCGCAGGGATGCTCCCTGTCCCTGCCTGGCCGCTCAGCTCACCCCAGTGCCACCAGGAGATGGCATCATTGTCCGTGCTCTGGGCAGGAGCGGGAATTCTGCAGGCACGGAGGAAAAATGGGGATGAAACTGCTGCCCTGCCAGCACAGCGATCATAACGGAGCCACAGGAAAACGCCCAGCCCTGCCAGAGTGGTTTTCCTTGCAAAGGGTGTTACAGACAGTCCTGTTCCGCCTGTCCCTGCCTTGGGACGTCACACCAGCTTGGTCCAACTCTGCCCAATTCCCCCTTTCCTTCTCCTGTTGAAACTCCCAGTTTGCTATCTCCCCTTCCAATTCAACCCCCCCAAATCCCTGCAGTGGCACATTGAACTCGGGCCCTGTGAAAAACGCGTATTTTCTGATTGGCTTTCCACAGATATTCAAATGAATATTGTATGCGTTCTGTTAGGAAGTTATGCTGTATTCATTTTCTTAAGTAGTGTGTTAAATATAGTTTTAGTTTATAACATAAGGTTAAAATAGAAACCATGCTATGTGAGATACCTTTTTTAAAAAGAGAGGAATGAGGTAGTCCCACTAAGATAGCAGCCACAGGACACACAAATCCTTCAGAAAAAAAGAATTTATTGCTCCATTATCGAGTTCTTCCCACCTTGCTCAGCCCTGAAGACTCAGTCAGGATTCAGAGGAAGAAGCTGGCACTGCCCAGACAGAATGCTGTGTTTGAATGGAATTTATGCATCATGTATGAGGTGTATGAGTGTGCAACAGGCTGTTGCTTTTAAGGGTTAATCCTCTGTTAATGTGGGGCCTTTTTCGGGCTTATTTTGCCCAGAAAAGGCACCCGGACTATCTGTAACTTTGTTTTGATTGTCCTAAATCCAAATTGTCCAAATTGTTATCACTCTAATTACATTGCTATTTTTATAACCATTTTATTACAGGTATTTGGGACGGAGGGGGCGTGGCTAGCCCTGAGGGGGCGTGGCCAGCCCGCGCCTCCCGCCTTTTTCCTGCGGGGCGCGGCCAAGCCCTATAGGGGCGTGGCCAATGACTGTGGGGGCGTGGTTCTGTGGCGGTGGGCGTGGCCTCCCCGTCAAAGGCGGGGCGGGGCGGGGCAGAGCCCTGAGGCGGCGGAGGCGGCCGGGCCCGGCGGGACCCCCGTGAGTGCTGCGGTATCGGGGCCCGGTGGAGCGGGGCCGCGTGGGTAGAGCGGGGGGCTGCAGGGAGGGAGGGAAGGAGCGGCGCTTCCCGCTGTCGAAATTCCCGATTTGTTCGCAAAATCCTCGGTTTCCGGCATTTCCGCCTCCCCCACGCTGTGCCTGGCCCGCGGTGGGCTCTGAGGGTGCCGCTGCCCCGGGATGGGAGGCTCTGAGGGTGCCGGTGCCCCGGGCCGGCTCCTGCGGCGTTTCCAGGTGTTTCTCCTGCGCCGGGTGATGATGCCGTGTGTCTCTGTGAGTCATTTGTCACAGCCGGCTGACGTCGCGCCGCGCTGGTGCTGGAGTAGTTTACGAGCGGTTTACAAGTGCTTTCCGAAAGCCCGGCCGCGTTACTACGAGTTTGCGCCTTGCTCTGCCGAGCCCGACGGCGCTGCGGGTTTGGCAGCTGCTGTTGGGTGTTTTTTGGAGCGTGGCATGTGCTAAGCGAGGTTTCTTACTCCTGCAAGTCCAAGGGGCCGGGTTAATTATTAATTATGGGTGGAATTACGGGTGGTGTGTGCTGAGTCTCTTTCCCCGTGGCTTCCCATCCGTGGCTCGCTCCTCCAGTGTTTGCCTGCCGAGGCCCTGGCACAGCGTGCCCGGAGGAGCTGTGGCTGCCCCTGGGTCCCTGGGACTGCCCGAGGTTGTGTTGGACAGGGCTCGGAGCAGCCTGGGACAGTGGAAGGGCCCTGGTGTGGCAGTGTCCCAGCCCTGGTGTGACCGTGTCCCTGTTGCGTTTCCCAGCACGATGTTCCCGGCAGGCAGCGGCCCTGCCCCGGACCAGGAGCCCCTGCTGGAGGATGCCGTGCGGAGCGGGTACAGCCTGCAGAAGCCCAGGGACCGCTGGCACGGCGCCTACCTGATATTCTTCCTCCTGGGCATCGGCTCCCTCCTGCCCTGGAATTTCTTCATCACGGCCAAGCACTACTGGAGGTACAAGCTGCAGAACTGCTCGGATGAGCCCGGCCCGGTGGGGCAGGCCGCCTCGGACCTGAGGGTGAGTGCTGCTTTGGAGGCAGAAAAAATCACCTGCCCTCCTTCCTAACAGGCTCGTTTTCCTCCGCTGTTTCCCCAGAAGGTTAGTGAACATCCTCTAGGGTCTCCCCTGCCCCAGAGGGAAAAGTTTCTTCGGTATTTATTTACAAATAGCCACAGGGAAGATGCTTCAAGTCATCTTGTGGTCATGCCTTTCACCTGTATTTGGAGTGGGTTGAAGTAAAGTGATGCTCTTTTCTGGTTTGGGGCTTTTGAGGCATGGTGGCAGCGTGTTTGGGGTTAATGTGGGGTTAAACACTTCCATGATGACACTTTTCCCCCATCAGACCTGGATGTGGGAGGGAGGAAGATGTCAGGTTTGCTTTGGGGTTTATTTGAAGGGCTCAGCAGAAAGGGAGAAGAGCTGGGTGCGTCCTGCAGTACCAAAAATGAAGGCATATCTCTGAAGGGTGGGAAAACACAAGGAGGGAGAAGAGTTGCCATTGCAGATGGATTAAAACCCAGCAAGCAGGAGCGAGGAGTATGGAACCTGAGCTTTTCCACTGCTCCAGGCATGGATTACATTTGCCACCCACCATTCTGCTGCTGCATTAAAAATGTGGTGCAGGGGCTCTGAAGCACTTGCCCAGTTCTCCTCACTGGTGGAGTGATCCCATTTGTGGGAATGAATGAATGTTTCCCTGGGATGTACTCCGAGTACACTTCTGCCTGGTGCAGAGCATTAGAAAGTCACTTTTCCTCCCCAGAAGCAGAAGCAAATTAACTTTTTAAGCACTGAGTATCCCCAGGATGGTTTGGAGGCTTGTTTTAAGTAGGTGGGTAAACAAGCTGCAGTTTTAGCAGCCAGCTTTGTGTTTTGCTTTGTCTTTTCTCTCCTGATTCATCGTGTGGCCGCAGAGCTTTGAGCCTCCTGCTTGGCTGAGCTGATGCCACAAGCACAGAGATTTAAGTCTGTGCCTATCTGGACCCTCTAGGAGTGATTATTAGATTTCCTGTTGCTTCCAGTGAAGCTCCTGATAGGGAAGAGGAGATGAACGTGCTTGTAAACTGATGAAATATGATGCCAAGCTGCAAAAGATAATGAACTGTGCAGAGAAAACCTGCCAAGTGCCTTCTCCTGGGTGGATGTGATGAGACCCCCATCTCTGGAGCTGGATAAGTGCAGAAAATGAGAACCTGGTGTGATAGGGGTGAACATGTAGGTCATCCTCCTGTTTGTGGGCTTCATCCTGCCTGCTGGCTGGGATTCCTGCAGCAAAAAAATGGGGTTGAGCTCCTTGAGGGGAGAGGAGGGGGAGCAGCCACACTTTGATGGTGCACAGCACCATGACAGCTCCTTCTTTCACCGTTTGTTTTTTTCCTTCTGTATTTGTGTCCCTGATGTCCTGAAACAGCCCAGGGCTATGGGAGGGCAAATCCCAGAACTCCCATTGCCCTGAGCAATTTGCAGCATGGGCTCCAGCACTGCAGGGTGGACACCTACACCACAACTCCCTGTTGTGTCATATTCGAGCCCCGAAATTCATGTGTTGTTCCCCCTGCAACGTTCTTTACTTTATTTGGGTTTTGTTTTTTTCCTGGCAGGACTATTTTGAGAGTTACATCTCCATTGCCTCCACCATACCCTCAGTGCTGTGCCTAGTTGGAAACTTCTTGCTTGTCAACAAGTAAGTGTTGCTCTGATCCCAAGTACCCCAGCCACATTTCTCCCTGGCTTTGCTCCTGTCTTCTTTCCAGCTTCACATCTCAGGGGGAAACCACAGGGCATCCTGAGCTCAGCCTCCCTGTGCAGCCAAAATTCTCCTCCTTGAGTTGCAGCCAGCTGAGGTGAAGTGGGAGAAGCGCCTTGCTCCACAATGCCTGCAGTTGTCTTGAGTAAATAAATTCCTAATGAATTCCTTGGTTAATTGTTTGGAAACAAAAGGTTTTGCCTTTTAAAAATACCTTTATTGTCATCAGGGTTGGCAAAAGCCAGGCTCATCCAGGTAGGAGCAGCACCTTGCCCTGCCCTTACCAGCCCTTGAACTGGGATAAGAAATGCACCAGCTGCTCCTTGTTGAGGCCTAAGCCTCAGACAGCCTCCTGCTTTCATTTGAACCCTTCCTTATCCCACATCAAACTGCTGCATGCTTGCAGGCCTGGCTTTGCGTGGCTGACATCCAGATTCCAGCTCCCTCACCTGCTCCCACCTCTCTCTATTCCCTTTACCCTTCTGCCAGCACAGGAGTTGCCCCTGTCCCGTGTTTAACCCTCACCTGCGGTGTGAGGCACAGCGGTGACTCCTTCCCTTGTGCCCAGGGTTGCTGCCAGCGTGCGGATCCTGTCGTCCCTGTTTGTCATGCTGGCTGTGTTCCTGGTGATCACCGTGCTGGTCAAGGTGGACACCTCCACCTGGACCACGCCTTTCTTCGCCCTCACCGTGGGCTGCGTGGCCGTGGTCAGCAGCGCCTCCACCGTCTTCTCCAGCAGCATCTTCGGCCTCAGCAGCTGCTTCCCCATGAGGAACCTGCAGGCCCTGCTCTCAGGTCGGCTGATCCCACTGGGATCGTGCTCATGGACTTTCCCTGTTTGGCTCTGTGGCTTTCTCTCTGGGGGCTTTGTCATGTGGGAGTTTGGTTTAGGAGCTTAACTTTGCCCTAATGATAAAGGGAAGTTGCTGGAGGAGAAACTTGATGGGTCACATGAGCTTTGGTTTCTGTAAACAGCCACAAAGTGACCCTGGAGTGCTGCTGGGTGCAGGGAGAAAGGAGGGAAGGAGGTGACATCCCCCTGCCCTGCCGTTTCCAGCTTTGGTTTCTGTAAACAGCCATAAAGTGACCCTGGAGTGCTGCTGGGTGCAGGGAGAAAGGAGGGAAGGAGGTGACATCCCCCTGCCCTGCCGTTTCCAGCAGCTTTGCCTTGTCTGCTCCTTTCTGATCAGCGTTTCCATGAGTGATGAGGGGCAGCTTGGGGAGCCGTGAGTGATGAGCTCCCTGGAGCATTGATAACATTATGAATGTGCTGTGGAATGCTTGACAAACCAAGAGGAGAAGGAGGGGGAAAATAATCAGGATGGTGAAATTTTTCCTGGGGCCAAGACAGGAGTGTTTTTAATGAGTTTATCTCCGAGAAGGAAAGCACCACGTCCCTGAGATGGCATTCCTGCCTCTGGTGTCTTGAATCCCCATCTGGGGGAGTGCAGAAGGGAGGCTGATTATGTGTGCTGGTGGGAAGGCAGGTTTAGGCTTTGGGAAGGGTTTGGGCTGTTTCTGAAGGACTGGGGAGCTGTGTTGGAAGGGGTGCAGGACGGCACCTGGGCTGTGGAGGTGGAGAGGAGCGTGTTTGTGCAGCCGGCTGTGGGGCAGTGCTCCCTGGGGAGCTGTGCGTGTCACAAGAGCAGTTTCTGGGTGCCCCTGTTGCCGTGTGTCCCTCACTGTGCCCGCTCTGTTGGCACACGCAGGCCAGGCCATGGGTGGCACCATCAGCGCCGTGGCCTCCGTGATCGACCTGGCGGCGGCGGCCGACGTCACCGACAGCGCCCTGGCCTATTTCCTCACTGCCGACATCTTCATCGTCCTCTGCATCGTGGTGTACCTGCTGCTGCCCCGGCTGGAGTACTCCAGGTGGGTGCCAGCCTGCCAGGGCATCCCACAGAGGGATTGCAGTGGGACGGCTGGGGATCCACGGGACACTCACCCTCCTGGTCCCTGCCCTGTCTCCGTGCCGGCCGCGCTTCCCCTTTCACCGAAACCACAGGCTGAAACTGAGCTTCAGCCCAGGGCTGAGCTTCTGCCAAGCTTTCCCAGGGCCCCCAGTGCTGCCTCTCCCAAAATGTGTGGAGTCAGCAGAGAGCCCTCACCCGGGGCAGCCAGCCAGGAGTGTCCCCATATCCTGTCTGGTTGGTGCCTGTAGCCCCCAGAGCCCCCAAGGGCCTGTGTGCAGTGGGGTCCCCTCTGTGAGCACTGAGGGTGCAGAGAGATGGGGACAGGGGATGCTGGGTGTGCAGGGGTCACCTCTCTGTGCGAGGTGGGAGCTGCAGGTGTGGTGGAGTGTGGTGTTTGTGAGGGTCCCCAGCATGAGATGAGAAATCTGACCCCATGTTATCAGAAGGCTGACTGATTATTTTATGTACTTCCATTCAAGAATACTATACTCAAGAAAGAGAAAAGATACAGACAGAATGCTCAACCAGGATGAATAATATAAAACTCCTGACTGAATCCTCAGAGTCTGACACAGCTGATGGTGGTTGGTCATTAGTTAACAGCAATTCACATGTTTGGATAAACAATCTCCAGGCCACATTCCAGAGCAGCAAACACAGCAGAAGCTGAGGCTCCTCATCTTCCCAGGATTTTTCAGAAAATGTGACAGTGGAGTTGCTGGCTCCAGCAGGCATTACCTGTGTCTCCAGCTTCTCTCTGAGTCTCAGCTGCATCCCCCCATGCTCCCCTGTGTCTCTTTCTGCAGGTATTACCTGAGCAGCCAGAAGGAGAGCCCCTCTCTGGTCACTGTGCCGGAGGACCAGGCAGAGCCAGGAGGCACCGGGAGCTGCTCCTCCTCCCTCACAAGGAGTGCTGGCATCCCCCCACTCCGCCCCATCCTGCACAAGACTGCCCTCCTCGGCTTCTGCCTCTTCTACGTCTTCTTCATCTCCATCATCATCTTCCCTTCCCTCTCCTCCAACATCGAGTCAGTCAGCAAAGCCTCGGGCAGCCCCTGGAGCACCAAGTACTTCACACCCCTCACCTGTTTCCTGCTGTACAACTTTGCTGACTGGTGTGGCAGGCAGGTCACTGCCTGGATCCAGGTGCCAGGCCCCAAGAGCAAGCTGCTGCCTGCCCTTGTCCTCCTCAGAACCGTCTTCCTCCCTCTCTTCATCCTCAGCAACTACCAGCCGCGGGCTCACGTCCGGACCGTGCTGTTCGACAGGGACATCTACCCCGTGCTGTTCACGGCCCTGCTGGGGCTCAGCAACGGCTACCTGGGCACTCTGGTCATGGTCTACGGCCCCAAGATCGTGCCCAAGGAGCTGGCCGAGGCAGCAGGGGTGGTCATGTCCTTCTACCTGGTGCTGGGGCTGGCTCTGGGCTCTGCCTGTGCTGTGTTCGTGGTGCACCTCGTGTAGAGGGGGCAGCCAGGGAGGGGGGTCCCCTCAGCTTGCGGTGCTGCTCTTGGGGATTTGGGGTTTGGGGTTTGGAGGCAGCCTGCCTGTCCGGGCAGGGGGTAGCTGCATCCAGGGGGGATGCAGAGGGAAAATCTCCCTTCTGGGAAGGGGCATCTCCTGTGCTTGGGAAGGTTCTGTCAGGCACTGTCACTCCCCAGTTTAATGGACCGGGGACCAAAACAGCCTCATCCTCCCCAGGATGCTCAGGGACACCATCCCTGACCCGTGTGCCAGGGGTTTTAAACTGAACCCAGGGCTTCTGGGGCCACCTTGGGTCTTGGTGCTGCACTGTGCTGCCCCTCAGGGGTGGGTGCTCTCAGGGAGGGCTCACCCCTCACTCAGCTGTGATGGTGGTATTGAGCTAAAAGGGATTTGAGCCCTGGAGCACCTGCTCACAACTTAGGGAACAAATAGCAGCTGCCCCAGGGATTGGGGCACGTTTTTGCACAGATTTCATACAGTCATTGCACAAAAATAATTTTTATATGTATATATAAGGGAAAATGCTCCACTTGGAGTTTTTCTTGCTTTAATTTTTCCGCATAAAATTGAACTGAGGGATCATCTACCTCCTAGCATGGTGCCACGAGTGCTGGGGACTATTCCCTGGGCAAGCTGAGAGGAACATTGTTCCTGCTGTGACTGTGGTGTGACCCCAAGGCAAGTGAAATGCTGAGTGAGCCTAACCTGGGGTTTTTAGGGTGTCTTCAGTCTGTGCTCTCTGTGAAAGCCAGGAGGAGGTAGGAGAGAGGCCCTGGTGTGAGGTTCACAGCAGAAATCTGCCTAATTCCTGTAGACAGGCACCATATGGCCTCCAGATGTTCTCAGAGGGGTGAGCTGCTGTGACACCCAAAAATATGGCCCACCCAAAGACAACTGGCTTTTAAAGCCATTTAAACTCCCATATGCCAGCACAGCCTGGACTAAATCCGATTACTGTGTTTGTTTTCTCAAATGGGCTGGATTTATGCTCTGGGAGAGGTGAAGTGATCAGCAAGGGTGTGAAGGCAGAGCCTGGCAGCACAGTGATGCTCAGGGGTGCTGGCTGTGGAAATGGATTCCTTGGGTTAGGAGCAGATGCTCCATTCCTGGGTGCTCTCTCAGCACCTGCTGCCTGCCCAGGGAGTGCTGGAGCTGCTGGATGTGGGAGAGCAGCAGGGTCCGTGCTGGTCACTGCCCGAGGGCTGAGGTTGGGGTGCTGGGAGCCCCTCCTGGGGTCAGAGCTCCCATCCCCTCCCTGCTGCTGGAACAATGCAGCAGTTGGTCAAAAAGCCCAGCCCAGCCTGGTGCTGGCAGCCAGAAATTCCCTTTGTGGCCTTCAGCGAGCCTGTCTTCACCCTGTGCATTTCGCCCCAGTCCAAGGAATGATGAGATTTGGCTTGGTGTTTTACTGCTTTGCATCTCTGCTCCTCCTCTCCTTGTTACAGCCCAAATTCCTCTGCAGGGAGAGCTTAATTATCTGGTACTGTTGCTAATAAAGAGAATTCCTGATCCTGTGCAGCTCCTGGTGTCTGGAATGATTTCTCTTGGAGGTGCACTGATGCATGCAGTTCCAGCTTGCAGTTTTCCTTCTGGCCATCCCTCTCTCCCAGCTTGGATTGTGAACTCAGAGAAATCCCTGACGAGGAGCCCTGAGATCACCGCTTGGAGAGCGTTCCTGTGGCAGGGGGAGTGAGCAGAAAGGGGATTTATCCTTTGGTTTTGGTGGCGTGCAGCTGAGGAAGGTTAATAAATGAGGAGGAAAGTCAATGCAGATGCAAACTGGGTGAGAAGCAGGTCTGGGCATGGAATGCCATGGTGAGCAGGTGGATGCTGCCAGGCCTCTGAGGGATCATTTACAGGGAATTGCAGAGAGCAGCAGGGAAGTGATGGCAGTGCCTGGGAGCAGCCACATCTGCTGCTCAGCGTGGGCCGTGCCAAGGAGCTCCAGGTAAGGAAACCTTGAGGAGGGAAATGGGGCTGGAGAGGTGGGAGGTCCAGATAAGGAAACCTTGGGGGACGAGGAGGGAAATGGGGCTGGAGAGGTGGGAGCTCCAGGTGAGGAAACCTTGGGGGACGAGGAGGGAAATGGGGCTGGAGAGGTGGGAGCTCCAGGTAAGGAAACCTTGGGGGACGAGGAGAGAAATGGGGCTGGAGAGGTGGGAGCTCCAGGTGAGGAAACCTTGGGGGACGAGGAGGGAAATGGGGCTGGAGAGGTGGGAGCTCCAGGTGAGGAAACCTTGGGGGACGAGGAGGGAAATGGGGCTGGAGAGGTGGGAGCTCCAGGTAAGGAAACCTTGGGGGATGAGGAGGGAAATGGGGCTGGAGGGTGGAATGAGGCTGCTGCATCTGGGATAAAATAAAAATGCAGCTGCACCTTGTGCCCGGCTGGGTTGAGTTGTGTCCCGGCCTGTGGCAGCAGGGCTTTGGAGCTAGGTGATCATCCATTCCAACCCAAATTCTCCCATGATCCTGGGATAAATTGGGATAAATGCATCTTTGACAACCAAAGCAGCCATGGAGCCCAGCTCCAAGGCTTGGGATGGTGCTCTAGCCAGGAGCAACACTGCAGGGATCCACACCTGTGCTGGTGTTTGAGGCTCCTCAGGACGAGGGAGGAGATGAGAATGTGACTCCATGTTTCAAAGGCTGATTTATTATTTTATGATATGTTAAAAGAAAATTATATACTAAAGCTATACTAAAGAATAGAAGAAACGATTTCATCAGAAGGCTAGAAAGGAATGAATAATAAAATCTTGTGACTGAGCAGAGAGTCTGACACAGCTGGACCATGATTGGTCATTAATTAAAAGCAATTCACATGACACCAATCAAAGCTGCACCCGTTGGTAAGCAACCTCCAAACCACGTTCCAAGCAATCAGATAATTATTGTTTACATTTCTTTTCTGAGGTGTCTCAGCTTCTCAGGAGAAAAATCCTAGTGAAAGGGTGTTCATAAAATACGACAGTGGCACAACAACTGCCTTGCAGTTCTGCAGGAGCTTTAGGGGAGGCAGCTGCTCCCCAGAGCTGAGTTCCAGAGACAGACCCTGGCTGGGGCTGAGCTGGCTCCGTGTGTCTCCCTCACCTGCCTAAAAATGCACTCCCAGATTTTGTTTCTGTGATCACCACCATCCCCTCAGCTGTAGGACACAAAATAAAATGATGTGGACGCTGGGACTTTTAAGGTAAAAAGAAGGGAAGTTTAATTTTAGATTCCAACATTTACAGATTTTCAAAAATCCCAGTATATTGGAGGATAGCAGTGCTACTTCTCCAATGACACTGGACAAAGCAACAGTTCATCAAATTTTTCTTCTTCCAAAAAAAAAATGCAACACAGTAATTATTTACAAAGATGTGCACAAGAGAATTTGTTACAATTTGTTATGCAGCTATATATTTTTTATTATGTCAGCTACACTCACATCAGCTGCAAGTGGCTTTCTCCAAAGCCTTGCCTGGGCTGTCCTCTGTCACCCTGGTTTTTTAAGATTTTCTCAGCCTTCTGATGTTTACATCCTTGTGGCAAACTTTCTCACACACTTTCTGTAAATAACTCATTGTTTTGCATTCTTTTATGGAGGAGGAGAAATGTGATGGACTGTTGGGTTGTCCAGTGTCATTGGAGAAATGTCGCAGACATCTTTCATGAAAAATCCTTTCCTTAGGGTTTTTCCTCCTGAGAAGTTGAGAGGCCTCAGGAACAAAATGTAAACATTGATTATGTGGAATGCAACAGGTGCATCTGTGCTTGGTCTCATGTGGTTGTTTCTAATTAATGGCCAATCACAGTCAGCTGGCTCGGGCTCTGTCTGAGACAGAGCCTTTGTTATCATTCTTTCCTTTTCTATTCTCAGCCAGCCTTCTGATGAGATCCTTTCTTCTATTCTTTTAGTATAGTTTTAATGTAATATGTACCATAAAATAATAAATCAGCCTACTGAAACATGGAGTCAGATCCTCGTCTCTTCCCTCATCCTCGGACCCCTGTGAACACGGTCACATTGGAGAGGTGGCACTGTCACCCTTCAATCCACTGTCACTTTTGGAAATCTATAAATGTTGGAGTCGGAAAACAAGCTTCCCTTTTCTTCCCCTTGAGAGCAGCAGTGTGTGTGTTGTGGTGTTTCATGTCCTGTAGTGAGTGCCCCCAGGGTGGCAATGCTGTCCCTGTCCATGTGTGGCACCAGGACGGCACGGTGCCTTTGCTGGCAGAGCTCTGGTGCAGTGCTGTGGCCCCTGGGCGGTGGGAAGCGCCTCTGGAACACCTCAGCAGCACCCTGGTGGTGCCCAAGGAGCGTCAGGAACGCGATGCCGCTCCATCTTTGAGGCCCTTTCCAACCCCAGCCATTCTGGGATTCCCTGGAACACGAGCGGCCGCTGGGCGCTTGGGGCTGAGCTGATCCTGCCCCTCCACCCCCAGAGGAAAAACACAAACCCTGCCTTTGAAACCTTGCCAGCCAGCTGCAGGCTTGCCCGGCTGCTGTTCTCCTTTTTCCCTGCTTTATGGAGTAATTTGTACTATATTTACACAGCAGTGATAAACAGTTTTTAAAATGGAAGCGAAGAAAAACGCTGCTGGATGAATTGTTACAAAAAAGCCCTGTTTGCCATTCCAGCAGGGGGAAAAAAAAAAAGGGATAAAAATCACCATCCCAGGGACATGCTGTTCATCAGATCTGGGTATTTTTTCCCTTGATTTGTGTGCCTAATGTGAGCAGAAGAAGTCGCAGATGCATGCTGAATTCTGCAGGGAACATATGCATGCATTTAAATCATTTACAGCATTTACTGGTGCAATTGTAAAGCACATTATTTTTCTGCATTTGTAATTAGGCTCCAAACAGATGGTGAAGGACTGTAGCTCCTGATTAGACAGCCTCGTGCTCTGTTGGACGGCGCTGTGAGAACAAACCGAGATGAGAAACTTTTCCTCCTCGTTCATCACGCCAGGGTGGGGGAGTGCAGGAGCTCTGGGTGAGAATTCCTGCAGCATTCCTGGG